CAGTAACACAGTCTATACCACAGTAATGAGCGCTGCACTTCCAGATAAGTACCAGACATGGATCAGACCTGTGAAGTGAAGAGGTGTAAGTAGCATGCTGGCACTCCTAGCTACTTGTACTTAAATAAAAATTTCAGCTGAAGAGTCACTGAGGGACAAAGCACTGCGGTGGCACTCAAGTGACCTAGCCTGAATTCCTGCTTCTCCCCTTGGTTTGCTTATCGACCTTGGGTAAATACCTTCCCTTGTTGTTTCAGAGATAAGAGTTAAGTATTGACTTTCTTTGCAAAACCCTTGGAGATTATCTTCGGAAAAGTGCTTTATCAGAGATGAATGGGTGGGTGTTGTTGAGACCAAAAGGTAGAGGTTCCCTCTGTGAACGTTTGAGCTATTATTTTTACCGGTCCCACTAGCGCGATACGTTTCACGTGTCTCCTGGTGGGTGACAATGACAGGACGCCCCGCCAGAGTGAAGGGAGTCCCAGCAGGAGGGGTTGGTGCACTTGGCACCGAGAAAGATCAAGCTGAATTTGTGACAGCTGTTCGCAGGCGACTGAGCCTTAGCATCCTTTGAGGGTTTTGTCTTGTGAACTTGCAGAAAAAGTCAAAGTGCTTGAACTCACAAGGTGCCTCACGTGGTAGCTTTAATGGGTTCAGAGAAAGATACCAAGTTACGTTTATTTGTATTCCAAGAAACTCTGGTTGCCTGGTCTTGCCAGAGGCACAAGAAGCTGCATTCCAGTTTGAATAGGTTTTTAAACTCTTACTCGTACTATATTTGTAGCGGTTATATTGGACATTTGATTTTAGAGATTCTGAAGAGTTTGTTTCTTTCTTAGCTCTATACAAACCTGTGCTCTTATTTATCTATCTTTTTATTTCAACAGACAAAATGAGTGAAAAGCTGAAGCTTTCCAAGACTGGCATATGCTTTTAAAATCACTCTCACAAGCAGTACAGTTGTTTTGGCTTGTTAATTACATGAACCATTCAGGAAATAATGACTTGTTAGTTCTTTGAAGTGTTGCAGATGATACTGTTAATTAACTGTAATGGAAGTTTGATTGATTTTATTGTAATTACATTGATGTTCTGGCAGATGTTGATGGCTAAAAATTGCTTTTACTATTTTTGGAAAGGCTTGTGCAACTTGAATGTACTTACGTGCTGACTAATAAAAAAAAAATATATATTTTGCGTGGCCTGTAGGTCTGAATATAATTAAATAAAAATATGCAGCTGATCCCTTGATTCATGAAGACCTGTGGTGGTATTCCTAATGTCATCGTGCCTCTCCCTGATCTGTGAGGGGCTTGTGATCATGAGCCTAACAGGGTCAGATGCTGTGCCCAGAGAGAGCTGGACTGGGGAACGGGCAGACCAAACAGAGCTCTGCAGAACCCTGTTATAATTGCAGAACAGGATCGTCGCAGGTCTTGGTACAGTTTAAGCCTTTGTTGAACCGCATGAGTTTGGCCATCCTGTCCTGACATGCTCTGTGGGACCTTCCTCAACACAAAAATTACTGCGTCAGTGCCAAGGAATGTGACTTTCCATAGTGTGAATTCCAGCGCAGGCAGTCTCTCTCCCCTTCAGCTGTGGTTCTCTGGTGCACAGGCTCAAGCTGTTTTTAGCAGGCTTATGAAAGGTGACTGAGAGTATAGAATAGACTATTTCAGTTGGAAGGGACCTACAACGATCATCCATTCCAACTGCCTGACCGCTTCAGGGCTGGCCAAAAGTTACAGCACGTTGTTAAGGGCATTGTCCAAATGCCTCTTGAACACCGACGGGCTTGGGGCACCGACCACCCCTCTAGGAAGCCTGTTCCAGGGTTTGACCACTGCACAACCACCATACCTGTAGGCTATGGTGCTTTATTCATCAGAAATCAGGAGCTGTTTTAGGAGGTGTGATAGTACAGGCTTTTCCCCCCAGTAGATGGGAGAAGCTTGTGATGGGATAGCAGTGAGGTTAGAAAAGGGATGGTTTTCCTTTTAATGTATTGAAAGTTGCCTTCAGTAGAAAGTTTACAACTGATTTCTATAGTGCAGAGGGGTTTGTTTGTTTGTTTGTTGGGTTGTGCTGTGACCGCGTATTGAATTTAGGCACTTCTTGGGAGCACCCCAGAAATACAGAAGGATTTAAAGAGTCAAGACCTGTGGATATCTTCACATAAAGCTTAGAGGTCCCGTTCTCCACTGGACAAAATTCCTACTAATGCCAGTGAGAATTTTGTGTGGGAGAAGGTGGTTATGGTCGGTGTTGGGTCAGAGCACCATTTCCAGATACGTGCAATGTTGCCTGCAGTATTTGAGCACCGGTTATGCAAACTGTTCCTGAGAGAGCTTTCTGGAGAGGCGGGCCTTTTATCTCCTTGCACTGAGTCTGGCTAAGTGTCATAACCTACTTATTGCATCCTCTACTTCTGCCTGGATAAATGCGCTGCCAGCTTTGCCTTGACCCAGTTTGTACAATGATGTTAGCAGTCATATGCCAGAATGATAAATTTGAAAAACAGAGGGTTCCCGGAGGACAATGAAAATAACAGCGGTCACGATATCTTTGAGATTTCAGAATGACGTTGCTTTAATTCACAGAGCAGGCATCGGCTCCTGGTCCCAGCAGGTTTTCTTTATGTAGCAACCACTCACAAGTAAAGACAAAAGGATCCTTACGAGTGTAATTTTGCATAGTCTTTTTGAACTCAGCAGTGTTAGGCTGGTTATATTCTGGCAGTGGTGTGCCCAGATTCTCAGTGGCATATAAATTTAATCAAATGTATTTGTTTCAATGTGTACAAACAGATCTAAAGTGTATGATTATTTGGTATCCATGAATATTCAGGAAACAGTTGTCTGTTCCTGTCCTGTTCGTGTCTCACCAGTTGTTCAGAACTTGCTCAGCCCCAGCCACAAAGCAGATTGCTGAAATGTGGTTTTTTTTCTGTGTTTTAAACAAGAAAGGAAACTAGATTTGAAGAAGTCTAATTTTCTTTTGTTTTGCTTTGTTCTTTTAAATTATTTTCTTAAAAAAGCCTTGCATTTTATCTGTTAGTAAACATTCAGACATCCTGACTGCCAACAAAATAAAGCCTATATGCCAACTTGAATACTTTTTTTTTTGCTAACTGGAAGGATATATAACTTTCTGGTCTTAGTTTAATGACGTGCTAAAAATATAAACACTGAGAAAAGTGGTGAATGACACGTCTTACAAACTAGATGATTCAACCTGTGAAATGTGTTGAGCTGCTTTCGCATAAGAATTGAATTTTGATAAAAATACAGAGACACGGGATTGTTAATACTTCAAATAAAACCATCTTACTGCTGGAAACATTAAAATGTAGCGCTGATTGGTTTTGGAGGGTTTGGGTGTTTTGTGGGATCTTGTTTGTTTTTTAAAAAAGGAGGATAATTTGTAGTTGTTTGAATTGCTTGCTGATCGTCCTTCTGTTAGAGATTTCATCTGCTTTGTGTGTCCACTTTTTAGAGACTAGGAAGTAAAATAACTTTTCTGCTTTCTCAAGCCCACTCAGATTAATCACTTAGAATTGTTAAGTAATTAATTAGAACTAAGTTAAATACATTATCCTTGCTTCTTCCATCCTTTCGTTTCTGCAGTACAGACTCCCTAGCTACAAAGCCCAAAAGATTTTTCAGCCCAACATAGGGAATGGGTGAAACCTTTAATTCTTTTTCCTCCAGAAGTCTGCATTTAGCAAAAGGCACTTGAAAGTGTGCAAGAGCGGACTCTTAAGATGAGAGAGGCTAACATACTGTATTTCTCATTCATAATCCTCTTGAGTAATCCTAATCCATTTCAGATCTGTAGCTGTTCTTAAGGATCACATGGGAGAGGATTCTTAAGGCTGCTCAAAACAGCTGTGCAGTAAATAAATCAAAGGGTCTGCACTTGTTGCAGAACAGCACACACGTTCTATACTGCAGGTGCTGAAAGACATGGCGCTTTCCGCTGCGTGCCCAAGGGGACAGCTTACTTGATTATTTAGATTCTGAGGAGGAGTTTCTGAAGCTGTAATCGAGCAGATCCCTTCAGAGATTATTGATCACTTTGGGTACTGAATAGAAACAAAAATTTAAAAAGTGGAGAGCTTCTATTGTGTTTATCTTAATAAATCCGTAAGTTAGAAATTGGTGGCGAGGTAAGTTGCATTTTTCTTTTTATTTCTCTGTAACAATGTTTTGTGTTCAGCACTAGTTACTCGGCACCCATAGTTTGAGGCGAAATATCCTTTTTATATGTCAAGCTGTATAAAACTGCGGTTGGGCGTCTTCTATCTGAGATTCTCCTTTTTGGCACTGCAGTAGCTGTGCAGGTGCAGAGGTCAGTGCATGTGTAAAATAAACCAAGCTTCACCGTCTCGTTTCCAGCTATGAGACGTGCCAAGTCTGATGTACACGTGGGGACATACATAGGTATTTACTCTAGGAGGGCAAGGCAGGATGATCACTTTCCCTAGTGCTAGCTAGCACTTGGGAAGAAATATTTATTTATTCTTGGGAGAAATATTTGAATTTTTTTTTAATTCATCTCTAGCTCTTAAACAAATTGTTGCTGTTTTTCTTTTAGCAGAACTTAAAATTTCTGTTTCCCTGTTTTTCAGGTTTTTTCCTAGTAGGCTTCCAGTAAATCTGTTGTATCCTCTCACTGCCTTCCAGGTTCTGCTCATCTCTTCCCTCAGTTGCCCAAATGCCTATAAAATTGTCAAGTTAGTGGGGATTCAGTTGTGCACGTGATACGTGAAGTGTGTCATCTTTCCTAGGAGCCCTGTCGTTTTGGAGTTAGCTTTGCGTTAAGCTTCTGTGTTCCTCACAGGAAGCCTTCGATTCACGTGGGTGGAACACCAAATTTTGCACAGATCTGTAACGTGGACAAGCTCAGTGATGTGACAGAGTGTGTAGGATTTGATTCAAAATGCTGTCGCTTGCTTTGGTTTTGAAGGACTTAAAATAATACCTACGGTAAGCCAGGAAATTTACCTAGGCTTTTGTTGTTCTTGTTTTGGGGTGGTTGACACAAATGGGTTTGTGCAAGTTTTCCTTCAATGAGTTTTATGTGGTATTATACGGTATTATTAAACGAGTCAGCAGCTGGTGTTTAAGAGTTGCAAAAATGAATATATTATCCGTTGGCTTGGGATGTGTATGTGGAGTCTGGCTGTTACGTGTTTCTCCTGCCTTTAGAACGCTAACTCTGGTGAACAGGGAACGTGCATCTTTTCTACACGTCTGCGGTCTTCTACTGAGGCACTGGACTTTGTTGTTCTGTTAGTTGTCTATGTCCACGTGTGGCTCTTGAGTCCGTGCTTTTTTTGGTGGTGGTTTAGTTCTGCCCCGGTGTAAGTGCATACAGCGGGTTTTATCACCTTGCTTTACTCGGCATGCATGCTTGCTAGCAGATGCTCTATGCAGCAGCGTATACCAGGGGAGAGCCTCATAGGAATGTATTGCAGCTTCTCAGAAGGCGTGGGGAAAGCCTGTTTTAGAGGCCTTCTAGCTGCACCAGAGAACACGTAAACATCTCCGCAGGAGGGGAATGGTGGCCAAGAGCAAGATGAGAAAGGAGCGGTCTCTAGCCGGCTGTTTCCTAGCTGCATCATTTTGTCTCACCTGGTTGTTTAATACAGCCTGTATTTGAGATGATGCCACTGTTCAACTTCTTCAGGTCTTCCAGGCTGTGTCTTTATGGGCCCTTGTTCCTCCTCTTTTTCTTGGGTACAGGATTTTAGGAAGGGGAGGGGTGCACGTCACTGTTGGGTGGATGAGGAAGGATCAGAGCTGCTGAGCAGTTGGACTGGCTCTGTTTCTTCCTCGGTCCTCCCACCCTTGAAACAGGTTTGATTCCATTGGAGTCTCTGGTTTACTGCTGTGCGCTCCTTTGCTCAGGCTGTGGCCCTCAGAAAAATCTGAGGGTAACGAAGTGAAAAAGTTCGCAGCCCCAGGAATTGCTTGGGAGAGACCTGTTGACAAGACCGTTTGCAGTAGGACAAATAGGTAGGTGGTGTTGCCTGTGCTTGCTCTCTGCAGGTGCTCCTAGGGCACGCTAATACTAGAGCATCCCTCGGTATGGATGGCCAAAATTTATGTTTAAAGTAGGGCTGTCCAAATAACAAATGCTTCTTTGTTTTGCAGGGAAGGAGGGCAATGAGGAAAAGCTTTATTCTGTGTCTCCAAAGGTCACAGGATAGGGAGGATTCACTCCTCAAATCCAAGGTCACAAAGGATTCACTCCTCAAATCCAAGGTCACATTCTATCAAAACAGATAGGCAGTACCCCTGAACGCAGCCTAAGCAAGCAAAGTACCTAACTCTGTACCTGAGCGCTTGCCTTCAAATTTGTTCTCCATTTTTTAGAAGTGACCTGGAAGTGTTTTAGTTGCTGAAAAAGGATTTTTTTCCTCATGTTTGCATTTTCAAAGGTATCTTTAAAGGCACTCACCTCTTCCGAAAAGCTGAAGCGTCCGTCTTCCTTTGAAGCTGGTACTGTCATGTTCCTAAGCAGCACTGAAGATACAGCTAGGCACGCAGGCTGTGTTGACCTCCAGTGTGGAGGAACACGTGTCTACACTAACCATGTTTCAGGGGTTTTCCTTGGGACTGGCTTGAATCTGGTCCTGTGGACTGAACTCCCATTAGGCTGGAGCGTGTCTTCTGGTGTCATTTCATCTGAAAGGAACCCGTGTCACGCTCTTTCAGGCTGCCCTGCCAGGTTATACCAGAATGCAGTTACGTGGAGGTGCTTGGGGATGACTGTTTCTAAAGCAAGCTCCCAATACAGAGCGAATCCTTGCTTCTGTGGATAGCTAATATTTGCTGAAATCTTCAGATCTGTGTCTTTGAATAGAAGTTTTTGTTTGGATAGCCAGATGGGAGTTATAAGTCTACACTGAGAAATTCTGAGCTTGAAAATTTGTTTTTCCTGAAATGGGATTTGCCTTGTACAGGAGGTTACAAATAAGAGCCTTTAATGCTAGGGATTCTGATTTTTGTGTGCAGTTGTCCGTTTGAGTAGTTCATAATCTGAAAAGTTGTCAGAGTACCTGCGTTATTTAAGCACAAAGGCCATAAAGCACCGGATGTAACTGGGCATAATTCAGCAGTGATTTCAGGCCATTTTTGACACTGATACGAAATAATGTCGTTAGAATAAAACTAGAGTGACTGGTGTTTTGTTGAGAGCATTGCTACGTACCCTCCTGTTGCGTCAGCCAGTTATTGTGAAGATGCCATTGTGCAATTCAGCATCCTGGGCAAGGTAGAGAATTTCTGCACTTCATCTGCCTTAGAAACTTTCCGTGCTGAAATGTTGCTTAGCACGGCTGATCTTCCTGAGCAAACGCTGCACACATGCACCTTGTACAACACCAGACGTGTTCCTTCAATTAGCGTTTGTGCAGATCTGTAGCTATTTTGAGAGGAAAGATGTGGGTTAGGTGGAAAGAGATTGAAGGAAGCAAAAGGATTGCGGGAAGTGAGAAAAGGAGACGGACTTTTCCCTCTGCTGGGGAGAAGCGCCTCTGTAGCCACACCGTCCCAACCCTTCAAAATCCTTTGAGCTGTGGTCTCCTGCCAGCAGCAGGCTTAACGTTTTTACAGGTGTTTATTTCCTTCCCTCCATTTCTCAGCTTTCTCCTCCCCCAGTTCTGGGTTAGAATAAAAACCTGTATAATTTTTACGCGATACAGCCTGGGACCGCTTTGGCAGTAGTACATGGAGTTTTGTTTTTCCTACGTGACTGTTGTTTTTTTTTTTTTCCAGAGGAAACATGTCTGACTGTGAACGACATTCTAGTTATCCTCAAAGTGAGAGATTTCAGAATTTCACCTAGTCTTGAAATAGGATCCGCAGCAGTGAGGTTACAAAAGTCTGGCTGGCCTGTCCTTTTATACTGGCCAGGATCTGAGCAACTGATGGTATAATATGCTCCCACACTCAAGCAGATCCACGAGGTGAAGGAAAGCAGTGTTTAACAAAGCTGATTATTTTCTTATGATCGCTAATTGTTATTTTAGACTTATCTCCCCTCTAGCTGTGGTACTGCAAATGCATGTAAATACCATCTGTGTGTTCATCCCTCCTAATGAGAGTTATCCTTCACACATGGCTATATGCGTGAATATTTGTCTGCATATACTTATTGTTAATGAATCAACTTAATGACTTTTGTAGTTCCTGATCAGTATTGAAAACCTTTTTTTCCCCTGTGCAGCGTACGACTGCCTCCCACGTGCGGTCATGTGTAGTATTTTAGCACCTTCATCCAGGTGCTTCAGCTGCGCATGAGGAAGGGGGGAAGTAGCATGAGGATTCGGAGATGTAGTCTGCTCTCAGAGCTCAATCAAAATTATTTTATTGTAGCATCTGAAATGAAGGCTCAGGTCAAAGACTGCCATATTGCTAAGAGATAGCAGCCTAAAACTAGGCATGTGAAGCATTGTGAGAGTACATGAATGCCTGATTTATACATCAACCGTACAATTACAGTACCTAGATATGCAATCTCTGCTATTTTTATACAGTTAGGAAAGGTGCTGAAATGATTCCTATTTATATAGCTGACTCGAAATTTGAAACAGTGAGAGAGAAATCCTCATCTGAGGTTGTCTAGAAGACAACAAAGTAGCTGGAAAAACCTGGTAGTGGAAGATGTACTTGGGCACAAGACAGGCCATCTGCTCGTTCATCTTAAGTGTTAATATATTTAATTATAGATTCTCAGCACTGTGGGACATGTTGCAGCTGTTTTGATTCGACCGAATGGTTTTTCCTGCATCTGTTTTGTGGTTTTGGTGACACTGGTCCAGCCTGCAACGTTCTAGGAGCATTGGTTGGAGAACATGGGATCTGGTAGTTCTGTAAATGCCAACTACAAGTACTCCCTGCAGAAGTCTGAAAATGGTGAGTGATTCTTTGAAAAGTAAAGTTTTCCTGTCTGCTTCAGCACATGCCGTTAGGAGGTTGCAGTGGATGTGTTTCTTTTCTGAGTTACCTGGTTTTCTTGATAGTATCGAAGCAAGGTTATGTCTTTCAGTATCCTGTGACAAAGGAGTCTCGGCTGTCAGGCAGAAGGCCAACAGGCTTGGGAAAATAACAGCTATTTAGACCAGGATTAGATTAAAATCAACAAAAACCTGACCAGAAATGAAGCAGCAAAAAGCAATTCTATTAGAACTAACATCCGATGGATTAACCAGTTGCTGGCTAATGTGTGTGTTGTCACGTGCTGACAGCGAGATAGATGGTATCACCCTGCTGCTTCTGGTGGACTTCGTTTTTAAAGACTGTCTTAGCGGCGCAGGACTGATAAAGCAGAAGCATTAGCAAAGCCAAAATAAATCTGGTTCTAAAGAAGGTAAGATGGTGTGGCTAAGAAAAGCAAAAAGTGTGCTTTTTTCTCATTATGTCAGTGCAGTGCTCTTAATCTCTGCTAATAATCTAGACTTTTTTAGGGCTTTTGGAGCTGTAATGATTTATTTTTATGAAACCCTCTGTATGATAGTATCAAATTTCTGGGTGTGTGCTTAGGTCTGCTATGGAACAAAGGGAGTTTATGAGTGAGACTTCACACGTAAGAAGTGTAAAAAAGTAAACGGATTGCTTTGTTGTTTGAATCATTCAGTCATCAGCACTGGCAGAACAGCAGTATGGTGCAAACTGTTTGCAAGTTCTTTGAAAGGAAAAATAGAAATGAATTCTTCATTTAGAAATGAAGAAAGCAGGGATACCGTTGTGACTCAGCCTTTTTTGTTTGTAATTTTTCTTTGTTGAAAAACTCCACCTTTTTTTTTAAGGAAGTTAGACTTGTCTATTGTCTATAGCACCAGAGAGCCATGGACGTTCCCAAAAGGGGAAAGGGCTGTTTTATGATAATGGCTTGTCTATAACAAACAAAGCGTAACATAAAACTAGTTACTTATTTGAAACTCTGCATTAGATCCGATACCTCATCAACAGTTTCCCATGACAGTAAAACCTCTCCGAATTGCTTGCATCTGGTTCTCAAAATCCTTCAGATCTGCTGATCTGCAGATGTGGGGCCGCTTAGGACTTTCCACCCAAGCACGACGTGCCAGGTGGTGTCCTGTCCCCCTCGCATGACGCCCAGAGGCTGTTCCCTATGGCAAGTGTAGCCAGCAGAGCTCTGTTAAACCGGCCCTGCACTTTAGCGAAGAAGGGGATGGGGAACCCGAGAGAGGGTGCAGACTCTCCCTCCTGTAAGCTGATTTGTGAACTATACTGCTAGCATGAACAGGCAAATTTTAGTTTGAGTGCTGCCACTTTGGCATGCTTTCAGTAGGTTATACAATGATGTATGATTCAGTTTACTGCTTGGATCCTCATAAAATGTGGATAAATCTCTCTCTCTTCCTTTTTTATTATTTTTTTCTGAACTAGTACAAACACTGCCAGATGGAACTCACCCAGGTAAGTTGGTAAATTAGAATACCTGGCTTTTCAGTTGCAGAGTCAGTCTCTGTAAAAGTAGTGTAAAAAACCCAATGTGTTGCCCATCTGGAGCTTAAAGTGCCATGGACTTGATAACGAGTCTTTCATAGATTTTATTCTTAATGTTCCAAAGGATCTAGTTTTCATTGGTATATGCGGAGTCGTAACTATGAATTTCTGCTCGGGATTCAGTTGAAATACACCTGACTCCTACCGCAGTAATCGGACATTTATCCACTATTAGGGGAATGCAAGATATTTACAAGTTGTTTATTTTAGAGAGTGATTATGGCTGTGATCTGGTTACGTGCCAGCTGAATTACTGTACAGGGACTAAAGCAGCTAGTGTTGGGTCTGTTATAAAGGAGGCTTGAAGACGTAGCATCAGGAGCACCAAACTGCAGAAAAAAAATTCAGCCTTTTTTATTTTTTCATAGCCCAACAGATCAGTAAGCATTTTCTCCACAAGATACAAGGCTCAGGCAAAGAATACATAAGTTATTCTTGAATTAAGGCTAGCCAAGTCTTACCTTCTTGCCCATGACTTCACCATGACTCAGTTTCCCAGCTGCACAACAGCAATAGCTTCTTCCCTTTTTGTGCTCTGCAGCTCCTAGTGCTGTAACAGTAACGTAATTTAGAAGGATTAGTATTTTCAATACATAAGCCATCAGGATATCTTCTTTAGGTAAAGGTCAGTGTTTCCCGCTGAAGTACATGGAGGGTGGTTTATGTTATATAATTAATGCAAGCTAATTGAATTAATGTGATCTCTTTGTCTCTTGCTAGCACTTAGCAGCCTTTGGGGTAGGGGTGGGGGATGTCCTTCTTTTTAATAAAGTTTTTCTACCTCATTGCTCTCCCTGCTTTGGTGAACACGCCAGTGCTCTCTCACAAACCAGATGCCAAGGGAATACAAGCTTCTGCAGCAGGGCTAACTCTGTAACTGTCGTCTCCACTTGATTTTGGGGCCAGCCTGTAGATAGAGCAGACACACAGAAGCATTGTTAGAAAATGTTTGAAATGTAGGGTTCTAGGGTAGGGCTCCAGAAATGAACAGGATGGGACACAAGAGCGTAATGAAAAGAGAGATGCCAAGTAGCAGAGCTGGTTGGCAAGGTGCTGTAAAGCAAGCAGGCGGTCCAAATGTGGTCAAGACCAGCTAAGGAGGATGGAAGAGTTTCTAGAGTTACATAAAAGTTCTGTGGCAGAACTTGAAAAAGGAAATGGGAAACTGCACCGATGTACTTCACTTTAAATATGCACATACCCCATCTGAAATAATCTTTTAATGAAAAACACTGGAATTGGGAAAATGCAGAGGAATGGTTATGTTTTAAAGATCAGGGCAAACAGCCATCATTTGGGGGGAAGAGCCTGGTGCCAGTGCTGGCTGTGGATTGAACCACGACCAGGCACCTGGAAATTCCTGGCATTTCGTTCCTTCTGTGTCATTAAGTGGCCAAAGATCTGTCTCCCTCTTTTCACCGTGGGTGTTAATTTTGTCTTTATTTTATTCCAAAGTAATGGTATGTTAACTTTTATGCTAGAATAGATCCCTTCTGAAGTTTGTCCAGAACTGCAAATCTGAGGTATTTATTTGGCATAAAGGAAGGTAGACAAACGCCATATTTTTAAGGCTCTGGAAGGGCATTTGGTGTCTTGTTTTCCCCCAACTCCTTGTGTGGTCTCAGTCAAAGCTCTGGTTTCCTGAAACCCCAGTACCTAGACTGTAAGACAGACATGAAAATGATCGAGGCAGATAGAAAGGGAGGAAATTGTCTATTAATACTGAAGAACATGTTTGGATCTTTAGGCCCTAGTAAGTTGTTGTTAACGCTGGTGTTGAGGAGCCAGCAGCGATGGTTAGAATTGCTTCAGAGGTCAGGCAGCGTCAGATCGCCCTCTTGAAATATGGCGAAAGGAAGTGGGTGTTTTGTTATCCTTAGTATTTAGGCATCAGAACACCTTTCCTGAAAAAGAAAGGTCCCTCTTCAATTTTCAGGGTCAGGAAAGGAGCGGTAGCAGGGTACCTCAGCTGCAGCCACTGCAGCTCAGCAGGTTGGTTCTGGTTTTGTCCCCTAGCTTTCAAGGCAGCCGTCTTGATCCAACAGTGGTACCGGCGCTACGTCGCTCGGCTGGAAATGCGCCGACGTTGTACCTGGAGAATCTTTCAATCCATTGAGTACGCTTGCGAGCAGGATCAGATCAAGGTAAGGTGCCAAGGAAAAGAATATGTGGGAGAATACATAGGAGGGTGGTTTCTGTGCCACAGACTCACTTGTTTCCACCTACTGGCTGGTAACCCTGCAAGTGCTTCAGTGGGCCAAGGACTGGGTTTCCTGCCCCTTTTTAGCCTATTGATTTCCTGCCTCCTTATGTCTGATGAAACCCTACGTAACGAGTCTTGAAAGAAAGCCATAAGGACCATTTAACATTGTTTTTCCTGAGTCTGAACACAATAGGCAAGTCTAGTTGGTTTGTTATACTTTAACTTTGATTAATATTCTCTTATATGGTTGCCTTGCTGTCAGGGAGGGAGAGGGAGAGCTTATAGGTGTACTGCTGACTGTATGGCTGAAGGTAAAGCTACTTTTTTGACTTCATCGCAAGATACTCAAAACTAGGATTAGTATAGTATGATTTGTTGTACATACCAGACAACATGAGAAGGGCATAGATAATACTTCCAGAAAGAAGATCATGTTAAGTCGCCACTCTCTCTGCAGAATTTCATTCCAGGGTGAATGATGATGGGCTCTCTCTCTTCTTGCAGCTTCACAACTTCTTCAGTTACCTCATTGACCACTTCACGCCAAGCAGCAGTAAAGAGAGTAAGTTTCTATCTGCCAGTTGTAGATGTGGCACCAGCAGCTCAGAAGGTTGCACCCTGTATTGATTAGTTGCCCAATGCTGGCCCTTCAGGATGGCAAAGGGGGCCAGGAGAGTCTAAAGAGCGATGGCATCAGGAATTTGGATAGGGAGTGAATTGTCTGGAGACTGTCAGAGCTGTGCGAGGGATGTGGGGCAATTCCTGCTCCTAAGGAGCTGGAAGGGGGAATAAAAGCTCAGTATGTTTTCTAAGAGCAGTATTAGAAATCTGCCTTTTTCCAGTGATCCCTGGTAACCAGGGCTTTGCAGAGTCCATTTCTGAAGCGAGAGAGAATCCATCTTTAGGGAACTGTGCTCTAGGGTATCTACTTTATTCATATTTAGTCTCTCACTTACAATTGGGGTGGGGCGGGGGGAGAAGTGCTGTGGGAACCAATACAGTATCTTCCTGAATCTACAGGGACTATTATGTTATTTCTTAGCGCTGGGAACTTGCTAATGAGCTTAGCTCTGAAATCTGATGGTAGTAAGTCAAAATTAACTATTTACTTTGCTGACCATAACGTGCTGAAGTCCTCGCTCCTTCCTTTCAAACCACCACCCTTTTTCTCACAACCACCCCACATATTTTACAGCAAAGCTCTGTTGAGGAAGATTTTTTTTCAGTGTCTGTATAAAACAGGACAATAACGTCCTGTTCCTTGACTTGGGCTCTGAGATGTTACAGCAATAAAAAACCAATGCGTATTTATACAAATTTTGTGCAGCACTGAGAATGTAGGTGCAAGCTTAGAAAAAACAGTGGGACGTAGGAGACAGTTCCTTATTACACAGTTTGCTTTTGCATGTCATTGAAAATAAGATTTCAATTAGCCATGGCAAGCAACGTCTGTCTGGCTCTACCAGCATTTTGCAGAAACTAGCGTAGCTGCCAGCACTGCCCAACACATAGCACACGGAAACTCGTCCCCGCGGCCTTTTCCCCACTGCAAATTCTATAGCGGTGTCAAACTAGGAGCTAGCCTCTGCCGCTGCCATTGCTCATGAGCTCTAGCCTAATCAAACAGCTTTTCTTTAGCAAATTACTAGGACGGTGTATTGAGCCAACTTAACTTTTTCTTGTCTCTTTCTCTTTTTAAAAAAACAATCGAACTGACCAATCTGCCATCCAGGGGATTTTATCAGTCGCATGTTCATAAGTGGGGAAAGCTTCAAAGAGGCAGAGCTGGAAAAATACTGTGACTATGAATCCATGGAGGTGCCAGACTCCTACACTGGACCCCATCTCTCTTTCCCACTCCTTCCTGACCATGCGACTGCCTTGCTGGAAGCTTTCAAACAGAAACAAGTAAGGATCCCAAAAGGAACCACGCTTTTCTCTATGCAGGGGTGTAGGATAGAGAATTTGGTTTTAGCCTTCCTAACAAGCTAAGCTGATTGGAGTATAGCGAGCTGGCAGGCTGTTAAGCCAAGGGGGATGGAAATGGTATGGTATTTCCCCCTGCCATAGGAACTTTTTTCCTTTCTGAAAATGCAGTTCTGACAAAACTGAAAACTTTTCGTAGGTGTGTGCCAATATTAACCTGAATTTCATTTTAAAAGGAAAAAAACCCATGTCCATGTTGAAACATTCTGTCATTTTTTGTTGCAATTCCTCAATTTGTAAAAAAGTATAGGATGGCCAGATGGAAACAGCTGATTGAAATTATGTTTTGTGCCCTGCAACTTCGACTCGTATTTAAAATGTAAAATGTGAGTTTTTTGATGAGCAGCACTAACAAGACAAGTCCTCATACAATTGCAGTGTTCTGCTGCCATCCCTCAGTCAAGGTGCTGAACTGCAAAATAGGCCAAAACATCCCTTCTCCAAACAAAACGATTTCTAAAACAAAGGTCTCTAGTGTCTTGACTAATATTAAATGCCTACACCCTGGCTTTGAGTGAACATATTTCTGCAGGAGACACGGCAGCTCGCGGCCTGGTTTAATGTGGAAAAGGCTAAGAAAGATCTAGAGGAGCAGCTTCTTACCTGTGATACCGGGCTGGAATTTCTGCTGCTCTAGGAGGTGGTGTTGCCTGGCGGATATAGCCTTGACCACAGGGCGCTAGGGCTTTTGGGTTCTCTTGCCAGCCCTGCCAGTGCCGAGGCTGGGCTGCTTTGGGGTGAGTCTCTTCCATCCTGCTGTTGTCTAGTATTTGCCTCATCTTGTTTGTAAGGCCATAGGTCAGCAACGAGTGTTGTCCCAGTGAGAGTTTCTGCCATCCAGGCTATCGTGGTGGGTCCTTGGGGCCTGTGGAGACAGAGCTGCGTTGCTGCTCAGCGGTCACTGATTTCCTGCTTTAATCCCTTCGCTTTCTCCTAGTAGCAGCTCCACGCTCGCTATGTCTTAAACCTTCTGCATGAGACCAGGAAGCACCTCAAGCAGTTGCCAAACATCAGTCATGTCTCCACCTGCTATAGCGAGGAGGTCACCGTGTGTGGTACGTCTGGGTGGGAGGGCACTGCGCAGTCTCTGGGGCAGAACGCTCACGTGGAAGGGGTGGGAAAGATATAAAATGGTAGCGTGAACATGATGCCCTCCTCTGTACCGAGTATGGAATGCAGTCCGTAAGCAAAATGCGTGTTGCATTGAGAGGCAAGTGGGGCTGTCTAAAATATCTGGGTTTACCCTCTGATCCTGTATTTGAGCTGCTGCGAAGGCTAGCCTGAAGTCTGAAGGGAGCAAGTCTGCATCATGGCCCTATTTCTGCTTGGTCTGGAACGGGATGGGGGTGCTGAGGGAAGGTGGTTTGTCTATTTGTAGTCTGCGTTTGGCTTCCGTGAGATTTTGGGATACATCATTAACAAACCCTGCCCCTAGATGGTAGCGTTCAGCTTGGCATAGCCTGCTGTAGCAGTGGTGCGGTCACAGTGATTATAAAAATGCACAGAGAGGAGTAGGTATGAATATGTGTCTAAGGGAAGATGAAGGGTGATAATGATGGCCTGTGGCTCTTAAAATTGTTATACGTTACAGCAAAGATTTAAAGAATTTTTCAGCTGGATTCAAATTTGTCTTTGTTCTAAGCTTGTAGTCCTTTTACTAAACCACAGAAACTGCACCCAGTCGAGGACCGGCCTCAAAACTCAGTCATTTTCTGTCCTGTTCTGGGGCCTGGGATTATTTAAGCAACAAAGTCCTGGAGCTGTTCTGGCTGAGTCTTCGTTAGCAGCAGCGTATGCATTCAGATCCAGAATACTAACACATCTTTGCGTCCTATCTAGTAAATTTGAAAGAGACAAAGCTTTGCACCATTATTTTCCCACTCTAGGACTAATGTTTAAAGTTTGAAGTATTTCAGAAAAATACGTACTTTGCACAGACTTTTGCGTGCAGTCAGCTTCTGCAAAACAAACCCCTCTCTCCAATATCACATTAAATGAGAATTTAATTTGATTATTATTTTGTATGCAAAGCTTTCTCCCATGTAATGATCAACATTAAACGGTTTCTTGTGCCACGTTGTGTCATCTAAGAGATAAATGAACAAAGCTTCTGAATCGGAGTCTTCCGAAGCTGGTGTAGGTTTTTTGCTGTCCTTCTCAGGCTTCAGCTCAAGCCTTTACATCATGTCCTTTTCCTCGGGCACATTGCGTCAGTGTAAGGAAACTTGTACCTTGAACTTCCCAAAATATTTCAGTGGTCATTAATTTATAGAGATACTTCATAGAAGTTATTTATCGGTGTCTTTTTAAGTTAAAGGTAAGCATACTGTGACTCGTCTTTTTGTGCCTGTTAGGAGACTTGCACGGCCAGCTGGATGACTTGTTCCTCATATTTTATAAGGTAGGCACCGTATTTGGAGAGGGAGGCTGGCCAGGCATTGTGAGAGGTATCGCATGGGTCACGCTGAGACGTGTTTGCAAAATTGGGCCCTTCGCATGCGATTCTCCAGGTCAATTTTATCGGTTTTAAATGTCTTCTCCCTTGCTGACTTTGAAATCTGATATACATGTACATTTGGGAAGTGCCAGTGGACATTCTTCTAAGTGTTGATACCAATGGCAACCATTCCTGCCTGCTTTCGCTTTGCAGTGCATTTGCCACTGGGAGCCTACAGGATAAAAATAAGAGTCGGGATCTATTGTATAAGGTAACCTGGGGCAGGAGTGAGAGAATGTGCAGCTCGGGGGGGAGGTATATGGAGGTCATGGGGAGGCCTCTCTTGTAACATCTGTATGTTCCTTGCTTTCACAGAACGGCCTTCCTTCCCCTTCCAAGTCCTACGTGTTCAACGGGGACTTTGTAGACAGAGGCAAACAGTCCCTTGAGATCCTCCTCATCCTCTTTACCTTCCTCTTGATCTATCCAAAGGAGGTTCATCTCAACCGTGGGAACCATGAGGACCACGTGGTCAACTTACGGTACGGGTTCTGTGCGGGGCTGATCACGATGTCAAAGGTGTCACTGTGAAATCCCACTGAACTTCCTTTCTCCTGTTCCTTTAGCTACGGTTTCACCAAGGAAGTAATGCAGAAATACAAGGTAGGCATACGTTTGTGTCTCCTTTACCACGCAAGACATGGACCTTGAAGGCTTGATGCTTCATCTTTTCCTTTCTGACCTGTCCTGCTAGGTGCATGGGAAAAAAATCTTGAAAATGATTCAGAATGTCTTCTGCTGGCTGCCCCTGGCCACCCTGATTGATCAGAAAGTCCTCATTATACACGGGGGCATCTCTGACACCACTGACCTGGACATGCTTGAGAAAATTCATAGGAACAAAGTAGGTTTCATTTCCTAGATATTGCAAGAGACAACAGTGTTGCTGATTTGTGGTGGGGAGCTTATTTCTACATGTCAGCTTGGCTGTTGATGAGACAAATCTAAAGGATGGTCTTCCTAGACCTAAACTGTGTTTAGGTACAGGCTTGGAGTGGATCGCTTTGGTTTAATAGTGTGTGTGCAGGAGGTGTGAACGGAAGAAGCATTCTTGTCTTCTGGAAGATGTAAGGATCGTAGCAGGGAAGTGGTGGGTAATGGCACGCGTAAATAGGTGTGCTGATGCTGACTGTAAAAACACAGTGATGATGGGACTTTGTCCTACAGTTTCTTAGCCTGTTATTCCTCCTAGATTTCCAGAATAATTTTAATAAGTCGTTTAACTTCTCTCTGCCTCACTCTCTAGTTGAGAAATACTACTTCCCTTCTCCAAATGTAATGACAAGCACTTGCGTTTAGTCATTAGTCCTCCCCTCATTCTGCCGCCTAGTTCCCATTGCAGATTAAATCCACGTACTCCACCTTTTGTGAAATGTCTGAGCAGCATAAAGTCAATGAAGAAGAGAGAGCTCTGTAGTCAGGATGGATGTGGGGCCCCAGCTGTAAACCAAGAATGGCACATCCGAGAGGCACTAGTAATCTCCCACAATTAATCAGCGTTTGATGGCAGCAAAGGGAATTGAGGCTCGGAGGTTTGGGTCACTTGAGTCTGCCAATGGAAGATGTTAGAGCTGGAGATGTAGGTTTCCAAGCAGTGTGACCACCTCTCTTTTCTCTCTTACCTCTTTCAGTTTATGTCTGTATTAAGAGGGAAGAAAAGAAAGGAGTCGAATAGAAATGTGGAAATACAGGAAATAAACGGGGAGAGCAAAGTAGAGGCTGACCCGGCAGGGAACGAGGCAGTCCCCAGTTTATCTCTGCAGTCCCAGCCGGCCCAGACTCCTAGCAAGGCCAACAGGCTGGAGTTCTCCAAGTGGGTCCGGCAGACGGTGCAGGAGCAAATCGAGTGGTGCCGCCGGCTGGCTGACATCAGCGACTCGGAGGAGGAGGAGGAGCTCACCTGTGCCAGCGCGGTCTCCTTGACAGATTTGGATGGGCCATGCTGGACTCGCCAGGAGGAGTGGAAGCAGGTGAGTAGTCCAAGCGGGGCCCTGAGCTTGATGGGCTGCGGGTGCCTCCTTCAGGTTTGTTCTCTGTTATGAAGAATCTCAGTACAATATATGCGGGTCAGTGCACAGACCTCTCTGCAGAAAGATTTTTGCTGCTTTGAATAGTGGAGTTAAAGAGCAACTCAGTGTTGAAGTGCCAGTGGGCAGGCTAATGGGGTTTGTGCTCTTTTGTACCTACTGCTCTGTACCCCGAGACAGCCTGGAGTTGATCATTCAGTGGTAGGTGATCAGGAAGGGCTGTACTGTAAGTATGTGATCTCTGCTGCTTGGGGATGTTTCGTTAGATACCTGCACTACATCCAGCCCATCCTGTGGCATGGTTCCCTGGCAATTGAAGAGCTGTGCACGAGAGTCACGTAGGAGAACGTAGGCTGTGTGCAAGACTGGTGCTAGCTGCCGTTCTGCTGGCGCCTTTCTCCTACCCTTGCGAGTCAGCCTCTTCACCGGGCTTTCGGCTTTCTGTGCTCAAGGCTCTGTCCCAGCGTTTGCCCCTAGCACAGCACTCATCTGTTGTTGTATAAAAAAACCTGCTGCTCAGGCATAGAGTGGGGCAACAGGTTTTCTTGATTCACTGCAGGGGAGAGAAATAATAGACAAGACTGATTGTAGAGCCCAGTGGTTATATCGCTTACTGTGTACTGGGGTATCTGAAGTCAGCTCTGTAGGTAATGAACGAGCACATCATTTGCTGATGAGCAAGTCGTGATCTTGGGTACTAAGAGCAGACTGAATTTGTGATTTTAGCTGGGCTGCACTGTGAGTAGATTGCTAGGCAGGTCAGAGCCTGGGAACTTGGTTTCCTGTTTGTGTTAGACCAGTCTGTCTGTAAGACCCTTCTGTGTGCTCTGAAACCATCGTTACTCACTTCACGTTACGTATGACATCCCAGCATTGCACGCCTTATCAGCATAAAGCTATATATTGAGGTCAGGGTTAAAGAGATTAAACTTTAATCCAAATAGTGGTTATTGAGTCAGCACTTACATTTCTGGAGGCTGCGGAATGTCCCGGCTAGAGAGCAAAGGAGTTTAATACTAAGCCTGCTCATGGCCTCAGGATCTGCTGGGTGTTCTTGCCCCGGGACCCGTGTTTTGGGATGGAGGAGGACAGGCAAGGCTCTTCGAAATCTTAGAGGCAGCAAAGGGAAAGCTTGTATCAGGCCTGATTTGTGGACACCCCTCTTTGCCCAGGCACTTTGGGTGTGCCTGTAGCTCCAGGCCAACAATATTGTCACCTCTGTGGTGGAGCAGTCTGTGACAGTCCTGCGGAGCAGTATGGTGGTTCACCTGGGATGCAGGAAAACGTCTCTGTTTCCCTGCACTATGTAATAGCAGCAGTCCAGGGAGGGATTCAGAGACAGAGCTGTATTTGCTTAATAAACTCTGACGGGTGATATCTGCTGGGTACACTTTATTCAGTGAACTTTTCCAATACTTTCAGATTTTAGACATTCTCTGGAGTGACCCCATGCCTCAGGAGGGCTGCAGAGTAAATACAGTGCGAGGTGGTGGCTGCTACTTTGGGCCTGACGTGACAGGGAAGATCCTTGAGAAGTACAACTTGCAGTTCCTCATCCGCTCCCACGAGTGCAAGCAAGAGGGCTACGAGTTCTGTCACAACCGGAAGGTCGGTGAGGAGGACGGCGTGAAGGATACTTGGGTTTCCATCTGGCCAGGGTGGGGTTTCTGTGGTGGCTTGTCTCAGCTCTGTATTTCTTCCAATGGGGCTTTGTTAAGTACATACAAAATCGTTGAACAGCCTTATTGGGAGTTACTGAAGTGTGTTCCCAGCTGAGGTTTTACGTCAGGACAGTCTGGAGCCACCTACTCTGTTGGGGTCATCTGTTGTGCAGGCAAAGCACGTCCTTGAGTGTGGTAGCCGAGAAAAGATCTGAACCCATTTGGGCCATTGCCCCCACTTAATGCAGCTACTTCTGAAGATGACGTACAAAAGGGTGTTACTAAGCTGCTGCAGAAAAGTTTTGCCCTCAGAAGATTCAGGGTCACTTCAGTGACTTCAACAGGGACGCTTCTGACTCTGCTCACTGCAGCGGAGAGTGGAAGTTTGTCGGGAGAGTACAGTGAAATCGCAGAAGCCCAGCGTGTGGCCAGATCCACATGAGACCAGTGCCGCCCTCGAGGAACTCACACCCGTAAGGCTTTCAGGCCAGCCGCCACCTCGCTATTCCTTTTCCACATAAAACATGGTGCTTTCACGGTCTGTTAACTCTAGATGGGATCGGTTGTGTTGTTTTCACTGATACACGTATATATAATAGAGGATGTGTGTACTGACTGTAAATGCCTCTATTTTTTGGGGGTTAGGTGCTGACCATATTTTCAGCCTCAAACTACTATGAGATTGGCAGCAACAGGGGAGCCTACGTGAAGCTGGGACCGGACCTCGTCCCCCATTTTGTTCAGTACCAAGCGAACAAGATGGCCCATACTCTCACCATGACCCAAAGGCAAGGCTTTCCGGTTGCTCTGTATTCACCAAGTCAAAATTCCGAGAGGGAAAACTTTGGGAGCTTTGAGAAAGTTTGGCTCTGGAGCTGAACTTTCACAGCTTGATTTACTAACTCATAGCGCTAGAGGAGGATTCAAGCTTTGTGCAGAAATTACTGAGGGAGGCTCAAGGGTTGAGCAGGGAGCATTACAAGATCAGAAGGGGACTCTTTTTTACAGACTGCTGATTTTCCAGCTTCTCTTTTCAAAGTCAAGTTTTAACTTTTGACCCTTGCCGAGGTTCCCTTCTGCTTTGTTGCTTCACAAATTGATGCAGGGATTCACTGCATCAGCTGCGGGGAACTGTGCTCCAGGCATGCAGTGCCTTGTCACGAGTACTGAGATGCAGCTGTAGCTGTGCAGAGCAGTTGTGCGGGGGTCTGGGCAATCCACAGCCAGGCCAGAGGACCGGGAAGGTGCGGCTTCTCTTGTGCTTCGTGGCAAGTCCTTAATGTGTTTCTCTCTTTTCTGCATCTTCCAGAATCAGCAGAGTAGAGGAGTCAGCCTTTCGAGCCTTGCGGGAAAAGCTCTTTGCTCACACCTCAGCCCTCATCAGCGCGTTCAAGGCGTACGATAAGGACAATACGGGTAAATCTGAGCCGAGGGACACTCAGGTTAATTCCCTGGTAGGACAGGGTTGAAGCAGCTGAGTTGAGTGTGTGGCTGGTTGGGAGGCTCCGCACTGACAGTTGTCAGTGACTGTCACGGGGAGGCTGTGTCAGACCTTGCCACAGCGTTGGTCTCATTTGCTGTTATTCAGTGTCTCCGCTGGGAACCTGTTAATGCCTCAGGGTGGAATTATAACGAGGGGGTGTCAGAGAAGCAAGAGGTGATTAGCCTGATGTGTAGCAATTTAGGCGTGGTACTAGGAGAACCCTTTGGAACAGGAGTATCGAGGAAGCATTGGAAAAGATGACGTGGAACATGTCTGTCACATGTCACTTGGGAAGGGCCAGGCGGTCTCTAGAGCCCCTTCATCCCTGGAGTCTAAAATCACTGGCAAGAGGAAAGCGAGGGTTGTCCTCCGTGGCAGCTGCCTCTGTCAGAGCCTTAAGGAAGGAGCTGAGAGTTCATAATTCTCTGGCTGCCAGGAGCGCTCTGCTGGTGCAGCAACCAAATGTGTTGCTGAGATCTGTCCATTTGTGGGCCGGGGGAGAAAAGGGACACAGCGGTTGGCAGAACTGCTTTCTTGTGGGTAGAACGGCTTTCTTGCTTTCTCCCCTGGCAGCAAAATTGTTCACAAAAGTCCAGTTCAGCTGTTATAGCAAGCTGTTAAAACTAGGGGCTTTTCCATGCTCCTGGGTCACTGAGGAAGTACTAGTTGTGTAGGCCGGGATCTGCAGGGTGAGCCTGGCTGTAGGCCACGAATTTATAATGAAATATCCAAGGTTAGTGTCTTCCCGTCGTTCAGATGTTTGCAGCCCCACGGCCCTGATTTCTTGCAATGATCAAAAGCTTGCTGAGGCTGGGGGGGAGCAGCGAGTGCACTTGTGCCTGCAGCGGTTGATGTCTGTGCAGCCATGCAGTGTTTTTTCCTGTACTAAAGCGCTCGAGTGTGCCGTGGAGAAATGACACTGTTGCCGTCAGCAGCATGGTAGACTGGGTATGCGTACTGCTCTAGGCTTTTTACTTTGCCTTCATGTGCTTTCAGCTGCCCGCCTCTCAGAGGCTGCAATGGCTCTCCCTTTTCCTTCCAGGAAGGATCACGCTCAGCAACTGGGCAATGGCAGTGGAGTCAGTCTTGCACCTGGGATTGCCTTGGCGAATGCTGAGACCACAGCTGGTGCGCAGCACAGCAGACGGCATGCTGGAGTACAAGTCCTGGCTTGATGACTTGGCCGTGGAGCAGCGGAGCCAAGAGGTAAGGACTCGCCCCCTTCCATCAAAGCGTGATGCAAAGCAGCTCACACGATCCCCAGCACAAGGAACCAAGTATGGTACGAAAGGAGAGCGGATGGTTCCGGTTCCTGTATAATCCAAAATCACATTGAAGTCGATGGAAAAGCTTGCATGAATTTAAGTAGTCCAGAGGCGTTCAGTCCATTGTAGAAATAGATGCATGTGAAATCAAAACCTAGAGGTAGTTTTGGATGCAGGCTTTTAAGTAGAAAAACTATATTCCATTCTCCGAGTCGCAGTTTCTTAATTACACCCAGCGAAACCAACTCTGCAATGGTTAAAAAACGTAGCCCAAGTCACAGTCTTCTCTGTTAGCCCGGAAAAGCTCTGTTCGGAAGCGATACGTTGCTGATGTGCTACAATGCAGAGTTGCTCAGAGGGTCCAGTCATCACAAACCTGTTTCATAAGCCACACACGATGCAAAGTGCGTTGCTGGCAAACTCTTGAGAGGAGTAAACATTTTTATTTACTGGAAGGTATGCAGTAACTGCTCAGAGAAAGCAGAGAGCGGTCAGAAGGATACGAGGAGTGTGACCATGTTGTCTTTCAGCACATCCAGTCGAGCTTGCTGGAAGTCATTTATCGAAACAGATCCAACTTGGAGACCATATTCAGGATCATAGACAGAGATCATTCAGGTAAGCAGGTGTACAGGGGGTGTTGGTCGCTGCATTATATTCCATTCTACTTTTGGGCTCCCTTTAGTATGTACGAAGGCATTTTTATTTAATGGTTTAAAGTTTGGGTCTTTCTCCTCCCTTAATTGGGGTTATTGCCTCAAGAGCTTCTGAAATGTCATTGCAAGTTTCCACAAATGTGACACATTTTTAAGGACTGTGTGCAGTCCAGGTAGAGAATTACTAATTATTTGTTCTGGAGGAGTTCAGCGGAAGAAAAATTGTGATGAGAGCAACGACAGTAATGCAGCATACTCGGGGTCTTGAGCATTACCTGCTTTCAAGCAGTCATCTCCGCCAAATTACTTCGGGAAAGAGAACTAATACAACAGTCTTTGCCTTCTTTTGTTCTCCCAAATTATATTGCGTGTCTTTACTGCTTTAAGTTGTATTTTAGCCAGAGTTCTGCACGCTAGGAAATTTAGTTGCAGCACGTGAAATTAAGATTATGAGTGATTTCTTTCCTTCCTTTAGGGTACGCAGGTGGCAGGGGTGGGATGAGAAATCAAATCTGAGCAGGGGTCGCTCCTTGCATGCTGAGCGGGGACTGACTGGCAGCAGTGCCTATGGCGACCTTGCGCTGAGGTGGCTGTGCCTTCCTTTTCCACAGGTCTCATCTCATTTGAGGAATTCCACCAAACCTGGAAGCTGTTCAGCTCCCACATGAACATTGAACTCACGGATGACGGCATCAATGACTTAGTTCGCAGCATTGATTTCAATAAGGATGGAAACATCGACTTCAACGAGTTCCTAGAAGCCTTCCGCCTTGTCAAACAGTCACAGTAGTGAGAACTTGGTGAGGGTTGCCATGTCCGATGCCTTGACTGTCTGCGAAGCCGGGGGACTGCTTCCTACCTAACTGCAGACGCAAAGCAGGGAAAGGGAAGGCAGGTACCTGTAGCATTTATTGGTTGAAAACAGTGAGTGCCGTAGCCCACAGCTGTGATCCATTTGGGGAAGGTAACTGCTAAAATAGACAAGCTGTGCTTCAGTTCTGACCATTTTTAAAAAGGAGCTGTGTTTTAAGTAGAAATTGCTGCTCAAAGGGAAGATGCAACTTAGTTGATCTTGTCAATGCCTGTGATGAAATGTTACAGGTCTATTCAAGTGCAGTAAAATGGAAGTAAAGATGTTTCCTGTAGGCAGTGTTTTAACCAGGTAGCAACTGCTAGAGCACAGCTTTCCTATTAATAAACAGTTTTTTCTAGATTGCTGGTTCTGAGCTGTTCATGCCTTCTCTGGGTTGTCAACTTTGTTAACAGGTGATATTACCTACTTCTCCCCTGTGCTAAGTTTGTTCTGTAAGTTTGAAGCTACTACATATATGCACTGGAGCAATACTTAGAAAAAACTATCTATCTGTCTGTCTCAGACATCCAAAACTGTCTCTTGCAGGGGTGCTTTTTAAAGAAATCAGTTGAGACCAGTTGTTTTTCAAAGGCCAGGGTAGTAGATGAAGTAGCCCGCTGCTAGAGTGCCTATGCTGCACGTTCAAGATATTTTAAAAGCATGGTACAAGTGCAGTCTAAAAAGGGGGGGGGGGTATGGGAGAATAAAGTGTTTGCAAATAAAAAACCCACCTATTTATCTCAAACACGCAGCGTAGTCACTCTAGCAGGGGCGCTATGATAGAAGACTTCACTTAGACTGCTACCCTGGCCCTTGAAAAAGAGAATCCTTGCCTCATTTGATTTCTTAGAAGAGTCCCTGCTAGAGCCTGTCTTGCACATTTGAGATTATTTTTGGAAGCATGTTTCAATTCATAAAGTAACTAATCCTTTTCACCTTTTATTACAGTTCCACATATACTTTTTTCAACTGTAATGGAACCATGCTTCCAAAAATAAACTCTCTCACATGCATAATACAGGCTCTAGCATGCTGAGGCTGTATTTCTGTTTTTCTATCTTTCAAATTTTATGAATGGATTTTTTTTTTTTTATGGCTAATGAACAAAATTATTCTGTCTCTACTCTGTTTGAGTTGTTTCTGTTGTACAAACTCCTACTACAGAAAATAATGTGGTTTTGTTTCAGTCATTTTCAGTGACTTTTGTAATGAGGAAAAAAAGCAACTTTGGGGGGGGTGGGGGTGGGATCTGTCTCTCCAATGCATGTAGTAGCCACCTGCTCTGCAGTATTTAATGTCAGGTAGGATCTAAGGGACCTGACCTTGTATTTTAGTTTGGGGACTGAGGCTGCCAAGCAGCGCTGTGGCACTGGGTTTGATAGTCTGTTACCTGCAGTGCCTGGAGGAGAGTGAAGCCATGCACCCGCTTCGCTGATGTAGCTGAGAAAGAGCCAACACCATGCACAAGTTATTACAAAGTCAGACTGAATTTATTACTCTCCAGCAATTAAAAAAAAAGGCAGAAGACAACGTCTAGACATTCTGTTGTTACTTAAGGGGCAGCGAAGCTTTGTATAATCCACGTATGTAAAGTAATAATAACATAACCTTCAGATCCTTGCCGCCCAAAGGAATGACAGAAACTGGAAACATCAACTTCCTGCAGCTTGCCCCAGCAAACTACTGGTATTGCAGAGACCGACATCGTTACAGCAACATACATATCTGTAATGATTTAAATTAGCTGTTTACATAATGATGTTACTTGATTGTTTTGACAAAAACATCGAAGCGGGCTAAGCTTTCCACAAACCAAGTCACAAGTGGAACAATTCCCTCGGCACTGCATTTCTAGGACAATATTGTTGTAAAAAAAGGGGGGGAAAAAAAGAAAAAATGTACAATAGTACATATAGTTTTATAGTAAAACGGTATCTGAACAGATTCAGTTTTCCTTCTTTTATTAAAGCATATACAGCTTTATAAAATATAAACCTTCCAAAGGTCAAGTTCAAAAGCTTAGAAGAGGCTTTGCTAATTCTAAAGATAACAGCCAAAATACCATTGTTCCTAGAAGACAAGTGTTTTATTTTACCTCAACAGTTTTAGCCTTGGAAGGTGAACCATGAACTCGAGTAACATGTTCTGTGTAAGCCCAGCAGCATCCACCACGTCAACTGAAGACTCCTCCTCTGATGGGAATGCTCTCGTTCAGCCCATGTTCTATAAGTTTGATGTCTTCCAAGTCATCCTTTATAATGCTAATTAGGTGGCTCAGGCCTTCTTGCTGCTGCTTCAAATGCTGCAGATAGTTTAAAAGAAAGCATGAGCATAGTTTAACTCACATATTTCAAGTCATATTTCTCAAAGGTGCCGTGTCTGGTGGCCTTGGCACATTGAAAAGCCTGGCGTAATTTCTTTGGAAGAAGGAAAAGCAGCATTTTCTGCACTAATAGCCTGACTGCATAGAGTGGCTTTGTACAATACCTTGAGGCACTGTCACTGAGAACAATAAAAAAGACTTACTCATCAAACAATTACAAAAACATGACATTCTGAATACATCTCCCAAGTTAGTGCGGAGCTAGCTTAAATTACGAAGTTCAGAGAGTATCCCAGGATTCTACCCAGTAATACTTACTTGCTTGATTTCCCTTAAGAGGTCTGCATCTATGTAATAGCGCTCTTCAGCCCGCACTGCTCCAAAGTGGTTTTGCATCCTGATTTGGGACATGAGCTCATTCAGTCTGCCCTGGGAAGAGAAACAGGCTTAAATCAAATGCAACTCATTTACATCTGTCAGAGCTCCAGCATGTACTACTCCTCGAGTCACCAGGGCAGGCAGCACTGCCGCTCATTCCATTTTTAATTTTTTTTTTGGAAGACATGCAAAGGGCAAGCAACTCCAATACTTCCGAGAACTCAAAAATACTTAAATACCTATCAGTCATGCAGCAAAGAGCTTGATGCTACAACCTAGTAACACTGCTGGACTTCTCTTCTGAAAGCTTTCCACAACAAATATATTTGCATGGTTTGGAAAACTTACATTCTTTTGCGAGGAAAAAACAGAGTTGTTGGCAAAGTTCGGTTAGCTACTCACCTTGAACTGTGTAGGTGCATTAAGTTCACACTGAATTGTATCTAACTGTACACGAAGCTGCTCTTCGTCTGCTTGAATGGCATAACCGCTTTTCCTTTGGATCTCCTGCTTTATTAACACCTACAAAAGAAGCCTTTGAGGTTCATTAGAGAAGACTTTGCCCACCTCTTTCCCCACTAGCCCATCCACATGTCTTTTTGCCCTTCCTCCAGCACGTCTCTCCTCAGATTTGTTCTGTCGTTTAGTCTGCTGCTCCGAGACCTCAGGGCAGTCCCGTGGCTTCTGAGTAAGTGAGAGAGAAGGTTCCCAAAGCAGTAAGACATGCTGCGCACCTGCAGCTTTCCCTGACAGCTCTGCCTGTTACTTAAAGCAATACCATTTAGGTGAAGTCAGAATTTCATTTTCAACATTGGCCACGTGCAAGACTGCACAGGTCATCCTGCCCCCTCTCAGTTTGCCTTCTGGCACTAGACTGCGTGTCAGAAGGAGTTATTTAGACTATCCGTGTTACCTGTAACGTTCTGTGAGAAAGCGCCATCAGTTTCCTTTTGTACTGTGCAATTTTTGCCATAGTTGTCGTTTGGTTTTTCTGCAGCTCACTGATATCTTCTGATATTATCTGCAGAGAAGATGGGGTCAGTTGGAAGTCATAAGAGTTTCCAATAACAGAACACATTAGTCCTGATTTGAAACCAGGAGTTTCAAAACAGTACTCAGTCCAGCAACTTAGCGTCCTCGCCAAAGATGCTTTCAGAAAGCTTTTCGCTACACCTCTACTGTTCTGGTTTCTATTTATTTTCATATGCAACTGGGATTTTCAGAAGGCATCAGAAAACTGGGTGCCCAAATCAGAGTCTATGCCAGTGCAACTTAATTCAGCTGGTTTGAATTAGCCTATAACAACACAGCAAGTTTGAACCTGAGAAAAACCAAAGCCAAAACGTACCGCTTGGTTTTTAGCCAAAAGATATAATTAAGGAACGTATTAAGAAATAGCGATAAAGAGTCACAGACCCATGCACACGGTTTCAGTTTCAGTTTTCAACACACAGGAGGCATGGGGGGAGGGTCATTTAATAGCACATCCTTTGTCAACAACAAGCAGTCATGATGAAGATGAGAAACCTTACATCTAATCGAGTTTGATGCTGTTTGGTCATCTGATCTTGGACCTTCAATCTTCTCAACAGTTCCTTGAAACCCACCATTGGCACAGGAATAAGCCTACAAAAATACAAATATTTCTTACAACACATTTTTCACGTGGTGTGGATTAATAATTATGAATATAATCTAAAGTTACATATGATCTTGGCCTATTATAAATTAATATAATACATCAACATATCTTGTTTTGCTAAGTTCTACAGTCCTCACTATTCCTAACAACCTGTTCCTTTTTCATGAAGAAATCAGCCTAAGTTACCTGTAACCGCTGGAGGGTACAAGGGTACATCACTTTCAGCTGCAGGCATAAAGAGAAAAAACCGTAACGGTTGCAAAACAAAAAAAGAAGTCACAATAACTAGTCCATATAATGGAGGACACCACAACTTGGAGTCATGCAAGTAAGGCTCTTTATCCTGACAAACCTTAAGCACCTAAATGGGTAAAGGGATTAGACAGGCATTTCTAGTAATCCTCACCGCTTCGAATGAGATCAGCACTTGACAAAGTTATTCTCTAGTAAGTTTCTTACAAGTTACCTGAAGGGTACTACACAATATTATATATTTCTCCCCTTTCCAAGTCTTTTGTAATACTCAGACAGACTATTAAGACTTACTTGTCAGGATCAGGATTATCAACTTTGGCTTGTTCCCATATAATTGGATCAACACCTTAAAAAACCCAAACAAACAAGTTTTTAGTATGGATAGATCTGAACGGATATCACATCTTACAGCTGTTAAGCAGGAAAAATACTAGGAAATACACCCCCCCTATGAGCTACGCTAACCTGACTGACTGTTCTACAAATAAAGGTTAATTAAACAAGGGTAGTTCTTAAAGTCTTGGTCCCGAACTGTGGCAGTAAGTTCAGTCGAAAAGGCCGTCAAGCATTTCTACTGGTTTGAAAGGAACAACCGACAGGTGATCAAATCGGACAATCCATACTTCAAGGGGAAAAATTCCTGTCTTTTCCACTGTATGCTATGCTTGGGTCATCTTTCCTCTTCAAGTTGCTTATTGTATTTAAAAAAAAATAAATTAAAAAAGCAGTAATTAAGTGATCAAAGAACTAAACCAGTTGGCAAAATAATCCCAGTAGGAATTATGACAGTTCCTAACAGGATTTGTCTAAGGATTTTATCTGTTGACAGAACAGTTGCTTGTTTTGCCATAAACTTCTTCATTGGGCAAACACGTAAAACAAAAGCAGCCTAATTGTACATATACATCAAAATCATGATGCAAGTTACTACATCCTCCGTGAACAGCACTTAACTACTCTAAAACAAAGCTGTATACCTACTATCTGTGGCCACATATACAGGCTAAGTGAGCCCCCCAAAAACTAGGAAGTGAATATAGGACATGATTATTCTGATATTTACCTTTTTTTTTTTAGTTGGACAAGTTGAAGTGATTTATGATGGCTAAATCATATAGTATGGTGTTGTGTGGCATATTACTGATAAATCATAACTGTCTTGGTGGACTACGTTGCACTTCAGTTGGAAAACTGGCTGTATTTAAAACCACTACATCAGTACGCCAGAATGCCTTGGAAAATCTTGTAGTTTTAAAAGGTGTTTTCCAGTGGGCCGACACCTGCATTTTTCCCAGAGACCCAAAAAAGCCCCAGCAGAGGCCCAACCGTGCCCCTGCGCAGCCCCAGACCACGTACCGGCAGGAGGGTTCTGCAAGAGCTGTTTGACTTGTGCCGGGGAAAGCTCTGTTCTGGCCATGGAGAGGCTGACCCCCAGCTGCTGCAGGGACGATTTTATGTTGGCTTGTTCAAAGTGGGTGTAGAGGGTCGTTGCGGGAACTCTCCTCGAAGTGCCGTTGGGCGAGCGCTCCACAACGTAAATGATCACTTCTGTCCTGAGCAAGACAAAATGTGTGCTGTCAGGAAAAGGTCAGCAGCATATAAAAACTAACACAATGAAGAACAACCCCAAATCTAAGTTACCACCTCTCCCCGCTGACTGTTAACTTCCTTTAGCTAACCGAGATATAAAGTACCAGTAAAGCTAGGGTTTAACATAGCAAGGCAGAAAGAGGAAAGCTGTAAATACCCTAAAAAATTACATTCTCATATACCTCATAGCTCCTAAAATACCAAGTATTTATCCCACCTTCATGGTTAGCATCCTCATCTCCAATTTTTGCTGCTGAGCAGGGCCTGAAGAAGCCTATTTCCTGACCTGAGCCGAGATCCCTCAGCTGTGCACTCCAGCAAAAGCAAGAACATACACAGGAAAGATACTGGACTTAATGCCTTAAGAAAAACCAACACGAAGGAATGAGAGACATGAAATCGAACTCAGGATGAACAGGTCTAAAATCAAGGAGAAAGGGAGACAGAGTAGACTAAGCACCAACCCTTTATAACATGCAATACCGGATAAAAAGGCAAAACTGCATGAAGTTCACATACTGGTCATCTGGCAACGTCTTAACACCTTCTACGTTGACAGTGAGCGTCTGGTTTCCTCCCAGAATTTTGTGTAGTGATTCTACGAGCTGCTGCTGCTGGCTTCGAATATCTGTTTCTTTTCTGTTAAAGACCAAGACCACGAGGCCATCTTCATCTTTGTTGTTGGGCATTAAACTGTACCCCACAGCCTGCAAATGAACAAACAAAAACTGGGGATGTATTACTTAGCAAAAGCATATCTGTGTGGCAGGAAGGGGAGGGGCTCAACCCCTCAATTTTTAGAGCAACCGGTTCAAAATTTATGTTACAACATACTCAGAGATGCAGAAACATAAAATCAATCCCCCTTTAAAATGTTCTCTCACAAGGCCACCAGTACAGTAGCTCTTGAAACAGTTCAGATTTTTACAAAAAGTTGGTAAGTATCCATTCCCCATCTTAAAAAAAAAAAAAAAAGGCGCGATGGATTGGGAGATGCCAGCTCAGCAGGGTATTTATGCTACTTCAGAGCTGATATCAGTCAGGAACATTTTACAAATTTACACTTTTTCTAAGTTGCAAAAGGAACCAGAGGACCAGACTTGAATACAGAAAAATTACTAGAGTTCCAGAAGAGTTTTACAACATTACATGTCCAGATGTCTGAATGAAAAACAGTTACTGACATAACCCAATCGAAAGATAAGCCAACCATAAACCTTTATGGATTTCTTAGCATTTTCCTACTGTAGATCCGGACAGTTTGCGTGGCAGTACAAGTCAAAACATGGACACAGAATATTTCTACTAGCTAGGACATGCAGCAAGTAAGGTTCTCACACAAGAATTTGGGACAGCCAATTTTCCTTGTGTTAGCAAGTGTCATGGGTTCTTTGTGCAATTGCTTATGAAGTTTAATGTTATCTATCTTTATCGTTGCTGTGATAAAGCTGTAGTAAGGTTAGGTGTTTAATTCAACATCATAATCTAATACAGGAACACTTGTTGCCATCTGTGCTAAGTAACAGCGTGCTTTCCCCGTTTCAAAAAAACCCCTGTCGGCTCCAGCATAAACTCCACATGACTTGTAAGAAAGACCTAAACTGTTAACTCGTTATAAGCAAAAGCAGAGCGGCAGTTCTCATCTCATCTTGCCTATGAACTGTCACACCAACATATCACCAGTGACATGTTGGACAGCGGGTGCTTTTTAAGGCCCTGACACTGCATGTGGGTGGGTGACTTGCACCTTTCCCCTTGTGCAAGTTCAGCTGAAGAGAGAAACGAGTTGGGGATGTGCCCAAGAGCCTGGTCTTTGTCAGCAGAGGGTAATTCCCCATGACAGTGAGCCTCGCGGAATCAGCCTTCTTTGGTTGGGCCATCCTGTCATGGAGCACAACGGTGACAGCTAAGGAAGAGTTCGGTTTTAAGCACACCCCTTTCACTTTCCTAGTTGTGAAAGAGGCCCACACCGTGGGGAAAGACTTGCCAGTACACAGAAGACTAAATCTCATTATGTGCAAAGTAGTACGAAGACCACAGGCACATGACTCCTCTGGTATTTCTGTTTAAAATAAATAAATACATCTTTCATGATTTCTTTATGCAATTAAGTCTTCAAACTATAACGGATTTTTTACTTCGTTGCGGTCCTTCAAATGGCGGCCTGTATCACATACCTCTGAAGCACACTTTCCTTGGTTAAGAGCTGCATGCTTCTCATTTGTTCCAGAGCTGGAATTGTGTACAAGTGGATTCCCTGAACACCTGTGAAACCCTTCGGGTAATGCTTCATTCTTATCAGATGCCTGATGCTTACAGAGGCAATAAACCAAACTAGCTTATGACGCTTTGCTCCGATACCTGTGCTACCAACTTCTCCACTATTTTCCTTAGGCATCTGCCATTGCTAGCATACATCCAACTCTTCACTATTTCACTTAAGGTATGTGAATCCATAATGACATTAGTAATACTGAAGTCATAGGGACAAAAGTAAACCTCGTACGTGGCTCTAACTTGAAAGGAAAACTTCTCCTTTTGGTAAATGAAGCTCCAAAATAACCAATTTTGTATCACACAAGTTATTCTTCGCAATTTTTCAAAGCCCAGAAAACTCTAAAGCCACTTCAGGCAACAACTTACAAGAAAGTAAGCTTTCAGATGCATTATCAACAAAATATTCAAGGTAACACCTAAAAAGGTAATGCAACAGAAGCCAAACATCTGTTATGCAGGCACTTGGCTGCTGCAAAGATTTTATAAAAGTGTCATGATGTGCATAATCAAAACTAGTCTTAATTAGGTATTAACCTACATTCAGGTTAGAAAGTTTGCACTTCAAAGAACCAGCTTGGCAAAGGAGGGTATCACCATGCCTGACCCAAATCCACTTCTAAGTCTGAAGCTTAGCAAGAAAGTCAGCAGGCACAAGATTTACGGAGGATGAAGAGCTACATATTCTTTGTTGACATGAGAAGCAAGATCTGGAACTGCTGATGATATAGTACAAGGAATGGAGTCAGCTTGAGCACTGGCAAGGATAAAGGCAGAAGAAAGCTGAAGGCTGCTGTATTTAAAACGGTATGCATGGGCCAGGTTCACAGAGGGGTTTTCTAATGTAGGCAAAGCGATGAAGAAAGACCGTGAAGTTCTTATTCCAGATGCTAAGTTTCTTTCAGATGTGAAGGTTATTTTAAATAGTTTCTCTAATACTGTAACCTAAACAAATACACATTAAAATTCATTTCCAGAGATCTCCTCCAACCACACATGCACCAATCTGAACGCTATCATAGAAAAAGGTTAGTTTCATCATCCGCATACGCACTCATTATCTAGTACCTCAACAACACCCAGATTTCCAGCATCTATAAATCTTCAAACCTTTTAATTAGCATGCATCAGAATTGTGTACATTACCTGGAAAAATACTGTTTCAGAAAACTCCTAACAGTAACAAAATCTGATTTAACACTCACGAGACACCCAGACTCTCCGCAAGCAGAGTAACTGCTTCAGAACTGTCTGTGGGCGGCTGAACAATTCCATACCTTAAACCTGCAAAAGGGGTTTTCCTGCGTGAACTCCACTGGCGCGATGTTATTGTTGAAGTAACCTTTGCCTGTTCCCCAGAAGGCCTGAAGCTGGTTCCATTTTGCCAAAATAGCATCTCTCTCATCTCCTAAGAGTGTCGGAGCCGAGAGGGCACTGGCTGTATTGATGAGCTGGTTCGACTGGGCAGGTGTCTGAGCAGGCTGGCTGAACAAGCCGCTTCCTAATGCTGTGTTGGATGAAGAAAAACAAATGAACTCCTTTTACCAACCAAGACAGACTCGCTTGCTAACACATACCATCTGTGCATCATTGGTATCACGTCTTTTCACATTTTGAGAAGCAAAACAAAGCACAGAATAAATAACTCACTATCAGATAATGTTTTTTAAAAGCGTCTTTTTACACCCAATCTTCATCAGCAACAGAAGTTCCTGGATGCAGAGTTAGAAGAAAAGATTTATTCTTTTTTCTTTAAATGAGACGTCTATATTCACCCATGACATCATCTGGCACCTTCGATATCTAAATCTGAAGGGTAGATTTGTTATTATAAATTCAGTGGACTCAGAGCCTGCAGCTGGTCATTATCCAACTCGCATTTAAACTAAACTCAACGCTCTTTTTCTCCCCTTTCTAGTAATGCCATGACTGCCAACATCAATTCTGTAACTACTCTTTCTACCATTGCCAAACCCAAGGGGTGAACACTGTTGTCGGGACCTCAAGGGTGAAGCTCAGAAACTTGCTTGAGCTCTAGTTTAAGAAAAAGGCAAGGGCTGCAACCGTAGGCATTTCAAAAGCCAGATTTCTGAGAAGTCTCCATCAATCAGGAGGTAAGTGTAACAGCCTCCTTTTATAACATACTTCTGTCCCACTACTTGCGCGCCTGTTGCAGCCTTATGCTTTCATTGCTAAGGAAGGGGTAAATCAAGAGAAGGCCATACTTACTGGTCTGTTGCTGCTGCGTACCGAAGCCTCCGAAGCCTAGCCCAGTTCCCAACCCACTACCCAAGCCAGTTCCAGTTCCTGTGCCGAAACTAGTACCAAATCCAAAGCCTTTGTTCTGGGTACCACCAAAGAGTCCTGGGGAAATAAGCAAAACGCTATTGAGAAAAACAAGAGAATAGTACCTGTGAAATGCAAAACGTTATTGTGAAGGGCTGACGCCCTACTGTTCATTCTAAAGCAAATACTTTCAGGTTTGTGCTCTCTTACCGCTGGTGCCTGTATTGGTGGGAGCAGAGAAACTAAATGCTGGTCCCGCAGTGGTGGTAGTTGTCCCAAATCCTCCAAACGCACCTAACAAACAAAGTTTGCAAGTAAGGCAGACAGCACATTGTGAGTGGCAGCCGTGCATAACATGACAATAAACCGCACGCTTCAAGGGGTGTTATGAGAAGAGATGTTGACAGATGGATGTATTATGTTACAAGCATGTAGTTCACATTGATCATGGGTATCGAGTTCATTGTCCGAGGAAATGGGGAAGAAAACATCAACCAGAAAGCCAATATGTCTACGGTGTGTCAAGAAAGCAAATAAAAAAGCAGCAGTTAACTAACATCCTGCTCCTTTACCAGCAGGATGTGCTTTCCTTAGTGACAGGCACAACTAGTAATAGTGTTTCTTAGACTCATTCTCAGGAATACTTCTAGTCAATATCGTTGCTAAGTGTTTAATAAACCATCTGATATTTTGTAAGCTTTTTAAACATTCCTAACCTCTTCAGAGCAAAATTAGAAACAAATCAAGTAAAGCCTGAGGCTAGGGTGCACACAATTGCTGTGCTGACATGGGAATGCTGTCACAGCAACGATTTTTTTCTACACACAGGTAAAATACTACAAGGTTGTGGTTTTTTTTTTTTTTAAGTCTAGTTTCCCTATCATCATCCCCATTAAATCTCATTTTGAGGTTCAACCACTATCAGAGGATGACGGATGCAAAAGCAATCAGCCTTCCACAGATTTTCAGGAAAACCAGTCACTGGCTAGCAGGAGGAGACCTAAGGGAGGGCCTGAGCTCCACTGTGCCAGAGAAAGCCCCAAGAACCCCATCTTCCCATTTGCCCCCTTCGAAGAGGTGCCCCGACACAGAGCGGCTGTGCCGAGACCGGTGCTACCGGCCCAGACAGCCTCCCAGCGCATGAGACTGCACAAGTGCTGGATGCCACCACACCACCTCTTTGCTACGGTGATGCAAAAGCACCGTTGGCCCGAGGTGCAGCCTGTGGACATCTGACTAGCCCTGGAGAGCAAAGTCTCCCCGTTTCAGGCTGTTTTTACATGGATTCAAATGAAGAAAGACAGTCTGCTACAAAGTATTTGTCAAAAAGATGCTGCCACTCACAGGTCAATAGCAAAAAAAAAAAAAAAAGTCTCTTTAGACCTACTACACTTACTGTCCTCTTGTATACATACAAAATAAAAAGCTTAAACCAAAGCTGACATGCAATCGCATTTTATTTTCATTCAGCAAACATCTTAATGTGAGTGGATATAATAAGTAGTTCCCTGTAACGTTCAAGTTTCAGTCCTACCAGCGAGTGAGAAACCCTAGTGGGAGTACCATCAGATGACACCATTTTTAGCTGGTTTTGTACTCACAGCAAATTTAGTCCTCCTTTCTTGAAAAAGGATCCAAGAGTGCAAACTGCTAAACAAAATTAAGTATGCAAGTTCTCTTCTGGAGTAGTTCAAATTCAGCTAAAGAAGTACAGTCCAATAGTGTTCATACCAAATAAAAACAAAACCAGACCCCTTGAGTGCACAAAACAGGTAAGAGTACGCTAACACAGGGAGCAATGACACTGTGGAATGAATGTAATTCCTATACGAGCAGCGGCAACGAGACCCCACAGGCTAATTCTACACGCGTTAAAAGCATTAGAAATCCATACAGTTAAGCATTTTTAGATGAAATGGAAGAGATTTAACTTGAAATTGTATCAGCTGATGGCTCAGAACTGATGGATCTCCGTGGGGCCATGAACCGTTTTCTTAATCAACACCCAGCGCACACATCACGCACGAGACCCTCCCAGAAGCATAGAGAATCTCTTAACGAGAGCCTGGGACGCGTGCTACGTCAGGGTGTGGAACGGTGTTTAGGAAACAGAGATCACAGCGAGGGCTGTTCATTTTGTGCTGATCGTATAAAATTTGTTTCTCCACAGAAACTATCGAGGTGTAGTGCATTCATGACAGCCCACGGAAGGCCAATGAGGAGACACAGGGGAAGATGAAAAACATGACTGCAGTAGTCCAAGAATCTCATGTCAGGAAACGTGGCGTTAGGGACCAGCTCTGCAACTGTTCATGATTGCCTGGATCTGAACGGAGAATTTTGCTAGGTAATCGAGGCTCAATTTTAGACCAGGTCAGACCGGTAGGTTACCACAATTCATTTCCTTTTCAGAGACTGAGTATTTGGTACATGGTTATTTTTCCGCAACAGCTGTTTCTTGAGAATTTAATAGGCAAAAAACCCTATAAGCCTATGGCTCTCAAACCCATTCCACTTTCAGAGCTTTTATCTCCAGTCTTCACTGGATACTAAGATGAGTACTAAATACAGATTCTCAGTTCGGAATGTAATTCTTGGACCCCTGCTGTTAACATTTATTACAGAACAAGTATTTATGCATTATCTACCTGCACTTGCCAGACTGTTACCAAAATTGAATGGTGGAGTTGAGGTAGTAGAAACACCGAAATTCCCAATATTAAAATTCACTGCAGGATTAGCAGTTAATCCGAAACCCCCAAAATTAAACCCACTGGCAGTGGAGTTTGTAGTCTCAAGCCCACCAAATCCTGACAAGCGGGAAGCAGAAAAAGAGCAAGGTAACATTAGTTCTAAGTAAAAGGTAGATTCAGGAAAGAAAAGCTAAAATATTTTTCCATCACCACGGACAAGACAGGCATAGTCAAAAACAAGAGTACGATATTGACTGGCATTAAACATTATTTATTGAACACAAGGAGGACAGTTAAAAGCTTTCTGTATAATCCACTCTCCCTACGTCACTGCTGTAAGCATGTTATTTTTCAACTATATTGCATATAAAGCAGCTAACATTTTCCCCATCTTATTTCAAAGCTATACATGAAAATACCCATGTGGTTCAACATTCCTGTGAAGAGTAATTTTTAACCGCCTAAGATTGCTCGATACAGCTGCGTCTGTACTAGCGTAACTGAGAGCGGCACAGTTATTTCATAAGCTATCATCAGGAAGGCAAGAATAAGCCATCTTCACGCTAATACCATACCCACATATGAGCAGCGATGGCAGAATAACCACAAAATACAACTCCAGCAGCTGAGGCACCGTGCGTGCCTCAAATACTCCAGGGCGGACTTATTGAAGTTATATTCACAAAACCTGTGCGCTCCAGCGCTTGCTGCTGACTTACCCGATGCGTCCAGGTTTTTCAGCGCTAAGAAAAGTGGGCTAATACAGCGGCTCCCCGATTCCCTCCCCAGGAGTAGCTGAGAGGTTCATGCTAGACCGACAGACAGACAACGGGAAGTCCTGGGGTTCGATCCCAGAATTCCTTCTAATATTGGTCTGCGAGCACACTAAACCTTGTAACAGCGTACAAGCAGTACAAGATGATCTTTTACTTTAAGATGGGGCCAGAAAGTCTATGTCTAAGACAGCCAGAGTCGGAGCGAAAGCCCACGCGGTAGAGCCCAGGCTAACCGCAGCGAAGATGAGCCCTGTCTAAAAGACTGATTCGGAGGGTCTACTCTAAGAGCCAGCGAAAAATTATTTTACTAAGTGAGAGTAAGGAAGGCTCTGGCTTAAATTTCACCAAGCCTGACAGTCAACTGACAGCGGCAAAACAAGCGGGGAAAAGCCTGCCTTCCTTTACAAGCCGAACACTGTCTTTCACATTGCTCGAAGGTTAACTTCCAAGAGCACCTCATCCCAACGGGCACACCACCGCCATCAAGAGCGCTGATCCGAGCGACCTGGCAGCATTAGCCGTGCATCACCACGTCACAAGCGCCCTACGAGCGACTGACTCGGCAGGACCAAGCCCCGGACGCCTCCCGAGACGGACCCGCCGCCACTGCGCAGGAGCCGTCCGTGCGGGAGGAGGGGAAAAAACCGAACAGAACCCGGCCGGTGCGGTGGGGTGACCGAGAG